GCAAAAGGGAGCCACATTTATAATAGGAACTGAAGCTTAGATTCAGCAAATGTAAACCCAAATACATCCTGATTTGCTCTGTATTGGTCTCTATTAGAAGATGACCTTGGTGCCCTCTGTTTTGATACCTTCCTAGTCTTGCCAGGTTTGGGGGCCCCATCCACAAGGCTTAGCAAAATGCAAGACCAGCTGAAACATGCTTGTTATGAGAGCAGCATTACTCTCTTTAAAAATGGAGCTTTGTTGGAGCCCATGATGTGCAGCCTGATGTTAGCTCCTCTAATCTCTTGTGCTGCAGGTGAGAGCAAGGAGCAGGTGGCTAACTCTGCCTTTGTGGAGCGAGTGAGGAAACGTGGTTTTGAGGTGGTGTACATGACAGAGCCCATCGATGAGTATAGCGTCCAGCAGTTGAAGGAATTTGATGGCAAGACCTTGGTGTCCGTCACCAAAGAAGGGCTGGAGCTGCCAGAGGATGAGGACGAGAAGAAGAAGATGGAGGAGAGCAAAGCCAAGTTTGAGAACCTTTGCAAACTCATGAAGGAAATCCTGGAGAAGAAAGTTGAAAAGGTGAGTGTGCTTTGTCCCTTTATCTGCCTGACCACACACATGTGCCAAGAAGGCAGAGGGCCTTCTTGGTAGTGGTGCCCTCCCTGTGGAACACCCTCCCTTCAGGTGTCAAGGAGATAAAGAATTGCACAACTTTTAGAAGACATCTGAAGGCAGCCCTGTATCAGGTGGTTTTTAAAGCTTGTTTTTATTATATTTTTAGATGTTCTGTAAGCCACCCAGAGTGGCTGGGGAAACCCAGCCAGATGGGTTAATAATAATAATAATAATAATAATAATAAACATTTTTTGATGAAGGCTCATGATTTGGCATCTGGTGTCTTATCTAGGTGACGGTCTCAAACAGGCTGGTCTCCTCGCCCTGCTGTATTGTCACCAGCACCTATGGCTGGACCGCCAACATGGAACGTATCATGAAGGCCCAGGCCTTGCGAGACAACTCCACCATGGGCTACATGATGGCCAAGAAGCACCTGGAGATCAATCCTGACCACCCCATTGTAGAGACACTGCGTCAGAAGGCCGAGGCAGACAAGAATGACAAGGCCGTCAAGGACCTTGTGGTGCTGCTCTTTGAGACAGCACTGCTTTCCTCTGGCTTCTCCTTGGAGGATCCACAGACTCACTCCAACCGTATCTATAGGATGATCAAGCTGGGGCTCGGTGAGTTGCTGGGAGATGGGGAGCAGCAAAGCCTATTTCTTCTGCCATTGAGGAAATTGAATATGGCCAGTTAAGAGTGGTTTATAGCCTTTTTGTGGCCCTGGTGCATTCAATCCAGGGCTTGTCAAACAACTTGGGTTTTTTGGCCTCAGGAAGGTCCAATTTACTTGGTTACTCTACTCACAAATGCACACTCATTCTTCTCTACCCTCGGGGTGAACTTTGTTGTGGCAGTGGTGGCGGAAACATGAATGTGAGTTAGTCACATAGAATTGTGATATTGTTGTGAAAATGGCAGGAGAGGTATAGCAGTGGGGAGTGTTTTTATAAGTGAGGCCTGGTGAGCAGAAGGATGTGAAATTGCCTGTAGTTGGTGTGGAAAGCAGACTTGGAACCTAAATGTCAATTAATTTTGGGAGTACCAAGAAAGGATTCCAGCCTGTAACACAGGGTGGTGGATGTGAAGGTCTGAAAGCCCAAGCTAAGATTGGACCTTTTCTATGACTTTGCTACTGAGGGAAATGTCTGTTCTCTCAGTACCTGCCCCCCAGCATGTACAACATGGAGATAACTTTGCCGCACCTTTCCAGGCTGTTGTAAGCATTACTGAGATTGCGATGGATATTGGCAAATGTTCTTTAGTCTGCCCACTTTTCCTAAAAATTGTAGATATATGCCTAAGGAGCTTCCATGAAGGGCATTCTGTAGTACTGCAGCATAAGGCTAACAAGTCTTTCCTTTCTTACTGCTACTTATGTGGCCTTATTAAAGCCCTGTTAGGGCACTGAATCTCCTTGTATGTAAACAAACCTGCAGGGAGAAGCAGCAGGTCATGGCTCTGAGCTCTCCACACGCTTGAGGACAAAGGCCTAAAGTGAGGACCCTTCTCTCTTCATGGAGGCTCCTCACTTCAGGCCCTCATGCTTTTGGAGGGCTCCAAACTGAGCACAACCAATGTGCCACAGGGGGCAGAATGATTGCTTGCAAATGAGAAAGGAATGCAAGCCTGGCTCTTAAAGAGACCCTTTCTAGCCTTGAACGGCCTAAAAATGATTTTCTATTGCACTATTTCAGGGATTGATGAAGATGAGGTTGCTGCTGAAGAGCCTAGTGCCGCTGTCTCTGAAGATATTCCCCCTCTGGAAGGAGACGAGGATGCCTCACGCATGGAGGAGGTGGATTAAAGAGAGGGTGCTGACCTCCCCCTGTCTTGCCCCCATCCATTCCCTGCACCATCGCCTTGCTCAGGAAGACTGGCTCCGGCAGTGCTCTGGCATGCCTTCGTAAGCAGTCTCTCACTACCTTCCTGTATAATTGGTAGCCAGTGTGACAAGGGGTCTTCACACCTATCTGATCTGTCTTTCTGCTTGTTTAGAAAAAAATGCTGCTTTAGGGGAAAGGGACCGGCCCACTGGTTTTAGGTTTTCCCTCCCCCCGTGCGGGTTTTATCCTTTTTCTGCTGGGCCACCAAGCATCCATCCTACCATAGCTGAGGTGAACACAGTGAATGTCCTCCCCACTAATAGAGCAGTGAGTTGACTCCTTGCCTCCCTCCCTCACTGCTGCCCTTTGTCCTCAGAGAGCAGGGACTTGTACTCTTGTTGGCTGTTTGTATTTGGTTTTGTTTTACTGGAATTAAAATAACAAAGAATGTGGTTTACAATGAAGTGGTATTGTGATGGATTTCTTTTCTTGTGGAGCACATGGACCTTGTCACAAACTGGTGCAGAGAACCATACCCCCCCCCCAATCAAGAGTGGAAACTGGTTCCTAGTTCAGGTGTCATGTGCCAGAACACCCCGACCTTCTTGAGCTTGTGTGTACATGTGGAATTCTGAGAAAGTTTTGTGGGCACTCCAGCCTCAAAATGGCTCCTCTTGCATTTGCATGATATTTACATGAAGTATTCCCCTAAACCAATATCAAACTACAGATCTGACATCTAAAAATCTGTCAGTACAAACATTGGATTCTCAAAACAAATCCTTATGGTTTTTACAAGGATTCTTCCGCAAATTAAAGCCGCGTGGCATTGGTTTTTACACTGGGAAGAAACATGCCATGGAACAAAACTGTAGACTTCAAATGTGATCTGTTTTTAGGGGATTTCTTGTGGGCACACCTTACAAAAAAATGAGTATACGTGCCAGAGTAAAAATGATCCTCATGGTGCCCCGAAGCCCCCACCCTGGAACCCACATTGCTGCTTCCATTGCCACATTCATGCTGATTAGAGGGCATACGGAGATAACGGAGTGTGGAGGAACAGCTCTGGGCAAGAACAAACCTCCAGCAATTCAATCTGTTTCAATGGGTTCAGGTTCTCATGGGTTCCAGGTCTCTCTTGGCCTTGGTGGGTGCATGTGCTATAAGGGCACCATGTTGGGGACTCCCAACTACAGGTGGTTAGGGGAAGCATCTTTGGGTCCTCCATATGAAGTGCATTGAGCAAAATGGTATGGTATCACAGTCGCTTTTGGAAACACACTTGGTCTGTTGGCCATAAGTTACCCATCCCTGTTCCCCGTTGTCATTGTGCAACAAGATGACTTATTTTCAAGTTAATTCTCTTGTAGAAAAATCCACCTGCTTAGTTTTGTCTCCTGAAGGTGGTAGGACTATTTTGACAGATTCAGAGACTGTCTCTTAAGTAGTCACGTTTCTTACATGCTTCTCATTACTGGCATCTGCTCTGCAAGCAGGGGTTGTCAACTGCTTTGGGCTTGTGGGCAAGGCACACCCTGCAGCCATGCATAGTTGCATATGCATACAATAAGATCCTGCTGCCAAGCCTGCTTCCAGCAGGGTGTGCTGATGGTTCAGTCTCATGGAGGGGGAGAGTCCAGAGCATTTCCTTCACTGGCTTTGCTCCAGGCCCTTTGGATGCTTTTTCCTAGCCAGAATATGTTCCTGAACTGTGAATCGTGCTTGCCTGGATGTACATGGGGGTTGTAGGAACATCTTACAGCTGCAGATTCCTGTGCTGCAAGGGGTTGGACTAGATGATCCTCAGGGTCCCTTCCAACTCTTAGGATTCTACAAAATATACTTTGGCATAGCTGGAATATAGCCAAGGGTACAAAAGTTAAATTGCTTTGCCCACTTTTGCCTCCAGCCCTGCCCACCTCTAGAAGGTTGCCCATGGCCCTCTGTCCCTGTCCTGCTATAAAGGATAGACTACACAAGGCATCGTCTCCTGCAAGAGCAGGGATGTAGCAGTCATCTATATAAAGCTGTTATTCTAACATGTACAATTCCTTGTAGGCTAGAGAAGATTGCTGAACCCATCTTCCTCCCCCGGCCAAACCCTGTACAGTGATACCTCGGGTTACAGACGCTTCAGGTTACAGACTCCGCTAACCCAGAAATAGTACCTCTGGTAAAGAATGTTGCTTCAGGATGAGAACAGAAATCACGCGGCGGCAGCGGGAGGCCCCATTAGCTAAAGTGGTACCTCAGGTTAAGAACAGACCTCCGGAACGAATTAAGTTCTTAACCCGAGGTACCACTGTACAATGATCAACTGATCCATGGGCAGAGTGGCTTCAAAGAGCTCTTCAAAACCAGCTTGCCTTCATTGTAGCATCATGCAACGCCCACGTAACTGCCCAATTTGGCCCATGGAATAATGTGTTCCCCACCCCTGCTAATAATTGCTTACAATAGAGCAAGCTTCATTGAACAAAGGGACTTGTAAGTAAACATGCATAGGATTACTCAGATTTGCCTTCCTGACTGCTAATTAAGGAAGTACCTTGTGCTTTTTGCTGTCAAGATTTTATGCTTTATTACAGACACCTGCCTGTAAGTGATGTCCAGGACAAACTACACTTAAATGGGTTGAATTGTGTATACCTTCCCTTTCTACAATTAACAGTCTTCATTTATGCAAGTTTATAACAGTGGGTTTCACAGGTTGATCAGCCAAGGATGGGGATATTTTTAGACTGCAACAACATTGGCAGAACAAGGCTAAGACACCATACACTGAATTTCCTACCCACTGGAATTTTCTCTTAATGTGGAGCATGGCTGTCAAGTGTAACCTTTGACCTGGAACGTCTTTTGTGTCCTAAGCAGCCTTTTAATGCTTTTTTAATCCTCTGCAGTCCACTGCCATAGTGACAGAGATATTTAAGTCTTGGGGGAGTTAGTTTTGCTTTGAAGTCAAGTTAAGAATCTAGGCCTCATGGTGCACAAGAGCTGCTAAAGATGAACTTCTGTGTGAACACCTATTTACTATTTCTGTCCACATCCCTTCTTGCCCATCATCACTTCCTCATACCATGCCACTCCTTGAAATAAAATCAGAAAGCCTGGAACATTTTGAATTGTGAATTTACACAACGTATTTTGTAGCCAAAGATGAGGATTTTGGTGTCTCATTGGTACCTTTACCCTTCAATTTACTTATGTGCTCATTTGAGGAAATTAACAAATGGGGCTTTTTCAGTCACAAGACATCTCTTCCCCCTTACTTGTATTTATATCAATTTTTTCACATACTTGCCTACCTGTTACCAGAGACTGAATCTGGCTGGTCCATTAAAGCAAATGCAGCACTGCTCCACAATAACTTGTCAGCCCTCAGCTAGTCTCCACATGCCTGCCTTCTGTCTTATAACCAGTCAGGCTCTGACTCTGCCTGTCATTGGTTCTGGCCGCACCTACTGTTGATCTCTTAGCCTTGAGCCCCAATGAACACCAGTCATCACTGCAGAGATTGAAAGGCACTTCAGCTACCTCGTTTTGGCTCTATTTAAAATAACATGGTTTTTTCCTGCCGGAAACTATCCTCATGCAAAGAGTACTAAAACTAAGCTGCCACAGGAATCAACTTTTGGCAGTATTTCTACTTGAGAGATAAGACTTTTGTGGCAGCAGATATATAGAAGGAAAGCTTTGCACAAATAATTGATCTCGTCTCCAAAATGGTTCCCTATCTACAAGGTAAAGTATGAAGTTCACCTGGCTCAAAGGCAAGAGATAAAGCAACTTCTTTCTGCTTAATGTAATGGAACTCCCATTTTTGCCACTTAGATCCATATTTGGCACATCAGATGTAAAGCGACCCACTTGCTAATGTGATTAAACCATACTGGATAAATCAACTGGATGAGATTTGAGACACTTGTTTGTTTTCACCCCAACAGCACCTGGGGGGGGTGGTGGTGGCCCACAAGGGAGCAGCAACTCCTTTAGATTATCCCTCCTGGACGCACGTTAAAGGCTATAAAACATGTCCTGGCCACTTATTTGCAGCATAGTTTAAATTTAATAAAATAAAACAGTTGTGTGTCGAGTACCAAAAAATGTTTCCCCTGCCCAATGTCAGCTTGGCAACAAAAGGGTTAATGGGTAAAACTCGAGTCTTTTAGGGCAGAGCCAACAACTCCAGTCCCGCATCCAGTTTTGAGAGCATGGGGAGAAAAGGGTAAAAAGATCCAGCCTCTGGGCACCAAACTATCCTGCACCGTTCATCTCAGAATTGCTATCTCCTGGCTCAAAAATGAAAATGGCACAGCGAGCTAGACAATACAGGGCAGTTCAGTGCCCCCACCACACCTTGCAGCTTCCAGAACAGCCTACGTGCCAAGTAATAAAATGGGAACATGGCACAAAAGAGACTGCAAGGCCCGAGAGGGTTAGAGCCCAGAGGTCAGCCCTGCTGGAAGCAGCACACGAGCCCAGACTCAGGCTGCTTCCGTGTGGCTGGCTCTCAGCTTGAACCACCTATTTCCCACCAACCTTTGCAAAAATCACTGGGGAGTGGGGGGTGGGGTGGAGAAAAGGACTGGGGTGCACATTCTTTTACTATGAGGATACCCTCTCCCTCACCACCTTGCCTAGAGCAGCAAAGAAACTTGGTTCCGAAGAGAGGTCTTTCAAAAAGGCAATATTTGTGCTTTTCTAAGTTTGCAGCAACAGTAAACCCAAAGAAAGCACCCCAAGAGTGGCCTCGAGGGGTTCTGGGACTGTAGTTCATGGCAGTGAGAGGAGGGGATGGTCAAAGAAAAACTAAGCAAAAAGCAAAAACCCAAATGACGCTGGCAAAGGGGGCACTGTCTGAAAGGTCCGACAGCGGGGCAAAAGTACAGGTGGGTATACTGAGCCAGAAAGCAAAGGGGCTGTGATTTAAGAGAGGCCGTTGCCCAGCAGGGCAAGTTCAAAACCTCCACAGTCAGGACTGGTTTTCTGTAGAAGCTGCCTGGGCTTTCCATTCCAACCATGACGTTTTGAGGGTGTGGTTCTCTCTTCTTTCTTTTTAATGGAAACTGTAAAAGCCTTGGCCTTGCTGTTCCCTCATACGCAGGCTCCAGGGTGGTGAGCAGAAGGCAAACCGTAGCAAAACAAAAAAACAAGCTCCAATTTGACTTGATCATAAATTAGCCTTCTCTCCCCCACAAGCTGTCAGTCTGGGCAGGCATTAGGGACACCTGAACCCTTATCTTGGAAAGGGGTCTCAAGAGCCCCTTGCAAGTCTCCTTCAGCAGAAAGCCTCAGCAGACTTAAAATACTCAGACGTTAGGACAGGAGGAAGCTGCCCCTCGCTTCCTCCAAGCCAATCCCAGCAGTGTTTAAGAATCAGCTGGGGTGGGAGGTGTAGAGGATGGGAATTGACGTTTCCCAAATCGACCAGCTCTTTGCTGGGTTCGTAAGAGAGATATTCGGCAAGTGCTTGGGGGCGGGGAGGAGCTCAGGGCATGTTGCTTGCCCGGTGGCCCCTAAACCTTCTGCACGGTGCCCTCGACGGGCACTTTCTTTGCCCGCTTCTTCATGCGGCTGCGGGCATAGACGCGGAGAAAGAGCGCCGTGAAGACCACCGCCACTCCCAGCCCGCCCACCACGGTGACCGCGTGGCCGTAGATGAGACACGACAGGAGGATGGCAAAGGCTTGCCGCAAAGTCATGATGATGGTGAAGACGGCGGCTCCAAACTGGTTGATGGTATAGAAGATGAAGAGCTGCCCGAAGGCCGAGCAGACCGACAGCAGCACGGCGTGGGCGGCAAACTCCGAGTGGCGGGCCATGAAGCGCACCGACTCCAGCAGGGCGCCCTGCTCCAGCAGCGAGCCCACCGTGAAGAGGCACGAGAAGACGTTGACGCCAAACATCATCTGCACCGAGGACATCTTGTAGGTGAAGAGGGCGTCCTGCCAGTTGGACGTGAAGCTGTCAAAGACAATGTAGCCTGCTAGGAGGACCACGCCGGAGAAGGTGGTGACCGTGGAGAGGTGCTTGTCGTGGGAGCTGGAGAGCAGGAACATGCTGACTCCGACCGAGATGAGGGCTGCTGTCAGGTACTCCCAGTACTCGTAGCTCTTGCGGGACACCAGCTTGCCCATCAGCATGACCGGAATCACCTTGGAGGCTTTGGCCAGCACCTGCGTGGGGAAGCTGATGTACTTGAGGGCCTCATACTGGCACCAGCTGCTGAGGATGTTGGAGAGGGAGGCGAAGGAATACTTGTACATGGGAGCGCCGTGACGGGGCTGCTTGATCAGGGCGCAGTAGAGGCCGGCCACGGTGCACGCTAGGATCCGGTTCATGAAGACCAGGAACTGAGAATCCTTGAACTTCTCGCCAGGGTCGGACTCAGTTGCGCCGTACGTTCGGGTCATCACCCTCTCCTGGAGGACGCCCCATGTCAGGTAGGAGATCTGCAAAGGAAGAGGAAGAGAGGGGGGAATGGAGGGCAACTGCCACAACAAACAGTAAGACAGCATCTTGGAGAATCAGGCAAGCAGGAAGCATGATGCTCTTTGGATGCCCTGACCCAAGGAGCTCATAAAGACGCCCACTTTTCCTATACTGTCAACCTACACAACAGGAAGCTGAGGGCCGGATCTGATTGAGATTCTCTTTCCACTCCCAAGCAGGATCTAACCAGATCGGTATTGCACTTCATCCCACAGAGACTATTTTCTATGCCGGGCTATGTTAAGACACCACCTACAAAAATTACAGCAATAAAATGCTAGCTGAGCCACAAGATGCAATGTTTGCCTTGGCATTTCCTATCCGCACAAACAATCTGAACACCATCTGGTTTATGTTTTATGAAATGACCATGATGCTATACAGGATTACATATTTCAGGCACTGAAAAAAGTACATAGCTGGACAGCAGCTGCCACAGAGCACCTGCTTCTGCAGACAGCAGCTTTTAGTGTACCATGCAGAATCAACCGTTTTCCTTCTGTGTTTTCTCAGTTCTTTGTAAATGCAGAAGCAGTAATCCCAACACCCTCACCTCAGTAATACGAAAAGTATCATTACTTATGTCCTGTAAATTTGGAATGATCTGAATCAAAGAGATTTCATGACTTGCCTATGGCCATTCAGCAGGCTTGGTACATAACTAAATCCACATTAGTTCAGTGCATTAAGAAAATTTCCTTCTCTCTCTCTTTCTTTCAATGTCATTCAAGGAACATGCAGCATTTCCTATGTATTTCTTTTATAGGTAGCTATGGGCCATAACCCAAGGATGCCAAATAAAGTTCTACACTTGCTAAACTATGTCACTCTAGGGCCTGCAGCTCATCGTTATTTTGGACTTAACAGTTGCTCAAAGAGCCAAATTAACTACAAAACGCCTCTTATCTATCTTCCGCTGAATGAGTGAGATAAGACAAACAAAATTCTAATCCACCTGATTCTGACTGAGCAGAAGTTTTTATCTTTCTAAAATAACAGAAATCCCCTAACTGAACCCAGTGTTCTTACTCCAGTTCAAAAATAACTGGGTGATATTCTGACCTCATTATTGCATGAAGGCTACAAACCATGCAATTCTAAAAGCATCATCTTGGTTTTATTTATTATTTTATTAAATTTATATCACACCCTTCCTCCAAATGAGCCCAGGCTGAAATTTAATTCCAAGTCTCATGAGAACTGAGATTGTAGCATTGCTTAATGGAAGTTATAGGTCAGGAAGGCTGCATATGTCCCAGTACACATAAAGCCAGTGCAATGGGTGGGATATTTTAACCTTGCTTGGAAACTTTGCTCAGCTGTGAACTAACCTTTGAGCCAATCCTACTCTCGGTGTAATGCTACCTCTAAATGAGAAGCTCCCAATCACCACCCTAGACAAGCCAAATCAAAGTGGATTACTAGCTCTCAGTTCTTTACCTGCAGGCCAGTTGCACAAAACAGCAGCTTAAAGAACTGCCGGGCTGTGGAGGACTCGACGGTCTCATTCCGAGCTGCTAGCAAGGTATCGTCCTGGTGTACAGATTTGGCCTCATTGCCAAAGACACATGATTTGATTACTGGAAAGCAAATACCACGGCCTAAGAGGGAAAGGAGCAAAAACACATTAGCCACAACACTGAATCACACCAGTTGGGGGCATGGGGGAGGGAGGAAGGGAAGCCACACACATTACAGCTGCCAATGTTGTCCCCACAATCACCACCACATAAGAACTAAGAAGAGCCCTGCTGGATTCAGCCAAAGGCCCGCCATAGTCCCGCATCTTGTTCTCACAGTGGCCAACCAGTTGCTTGCGGAAAGAATGGCTGTGAGCAGGACTTGAGAGCAGCAGCATTCTTTTCACTTGCGATTCCCAGATGCTGGTTCTCGGAGACATAGCACCACCATATGTGGTTTCCTGATGGCACTTCCAAACAGATTTACTTGCCTCTTCTCTAGGCCAGTCCTACTCTACTCTGCTCACAGTGCTTGCCCCCAGCTAAGAGAAGACAGACTTACTGAGCTGCAGAAAATCAGAGAGATAGTGATGCAGATCTTATACCCACATTGCCATGGCTATTCCTTGCAAATCTCCTAATTTCCTCAACAGGTAATGGCTACAGATTCTGTGCTTGTTAGCATGATAACACTGATGGAGTGGACGCAGTGTTTGAAATTCGCCAGGTGTCAGGCACATTTTGCACCCGGCTATCGGCCACTTGTGACCAAGTGAAGATAGCCGGGCACCAGGATGGCACCTGACGTCTCCGCCATCTGGAGGTCCATCTGCCTGGGGATCCTTGTATCATGACTGTTTTCACACACTAGCAACATACCCCATAGAATTCTATCCATTATATTTTATCTGCACAATCAGAATGAATTTCAGGAACCAGAAAGTTGCATTGAAATGTAAATGTAAATAAAAAGAAGACACCTTTTATCATATGTGGTGGACTTGTAAATTAGTACAAGAATTCTGGGAGATTATATATAATGAACCGAAAAAAATCTTTAAAGTAACTTTTTATTAAAAACCCCCAAAGCTTTTCTTCTAGGAATTCTAGGCACCGAAATATCAACGGATCAGAAAAGACTATTAATGTACGCGACTACTGCTGCTCGGATGCTACTAGCCCAGAGAAGAATGGCAGATTAAGTTGAAGGACTATGCCAAAATGGCAAGAAGAATCAGGAAGACCAAAACTTTAATAAGGAAAGGGGAAAATATATAATTTACCTTAAAAATCATTGTAAACAAAATTATTAGTAGGATTGGAATAATACTTGTAATTTAACGTTGAATTATGGTTCAAATGGGGATTTAATAGATTTGGATTAATAGAGAAGATGCAGAAGAAAAAAAGTTAACTAAGGACCCACAAAGGGGAAGAGGGCAGTCCAGGGGAATCTATGGAATTCTCTTATTTGGGTTGTTTGACAATTGTTTGTAAATTTCAAAATTTGAAAAACTAAATAAATTTATAAATAAACACAACTTTTGAGCCATCAGGCCCCAAAATGGCAACGAGGCATTCCGTTTTGGCGACTGCAACCCTGCTTTAAGGAGCCATTTGACACCTAGCTTATATATCTGAGTTTCTAACACTGAGTGAACATACTGATTGCGCACTTAGAAGTCGACAGTGATTGCACTCTGGGGCAGGATAGCACAGCTGAGGGGCTGCAGAAGATACGATGGGCTCAGAAAGAGCTATCTCAGCTGCAACATCAGGATACCACTCTGTGTGCATATTCCTACCTCTTACCTGTTTCAAGGTAATTTTTCCTCTTGAAGTATTGTATAAGCAAGAAGCCTGGAACCACAATACTTGCATAGCCTGCGGCATTGACCAAAAAGCGAAACAGCCAAAAGTCTCCCCAGGAGTCCTGGTGGACAGCAGGTACCTCTTCATTCGCAGTCACTATGGGGAGAGCAGCCAGCGCAAGAGCCAGGCAGAACCTGCCAAGAAAAAGAGCAGGCCGTAAGCCAAAGGGAATCCCTGGATCCGGTGAAAAGTTTATACAGGCAACTCTCTCATCACACATGGGAAGCATTCAAGATTCCCGCCCCCCCCCTTCCTCTAGCAATAGGCAAAACCAAGAACCCCAGAAACCAAGCAGCTACATCTGTCTTGTGCAGGATTCTCACAGCAAATGCTGCAGACGTGCTTGCAGCTTCAAAGCTGAGTGAAGAAATTCTGCACATGCAATCCCTATGCCTGTCTGCGGAACTATTGCCTTTCACTTAATCTGGCATGACACCAAGGACAGAGGCCTGTGAGAGCTCCCATTTGTCAGATCTTTGGTCTTTTCAAACACCCTTCCTTGGAGTTAGGGAGAGAGATAAAAGAAATGAAATAAATAAATAATAATAATAATAATATCTTTATTGTCATTGCCCCCTCTCGGGGACAACGAAATTACTTGGCTGCTCCATCCACCCAGGTAGGGCACTCCACACAAAATCAAAACAGCTATAAAAACACTAATTAAAACAATACAGTATAAAACAGCAAGGAAGATTAGATGACTTTCAAAGTCCAGGCTTCCCATTCAGGGCCGAGATCGCTCTGGGGAAGAAGCTGTTCTTAAGACGGCTTGTTCTTGTCTTCAACGTCCTGTATCTCCGTCCTGACGGCAGGTGCTCGAAGAGACAGTGACCAGGATGCGATGGATCTTTTACTATGTCCAGTGCCTTCCTATGGCACCTTGTGGCATAAATCTGCTCTAAAGTGGAGAGTGGGCAGCCAACAATGCTCTCTGCTGCCTTAACAACTCTGCACAACCCCAACCTGTCCCGGGTAGTACAGCTTCCGTACCACAAACATAAGCCATAAGTGAGCACGTTCTCAATGGCACAGTGATAGAAGGCAAGCAGCAGTTTCTGCGGAAGATGGTTTTCCCTTCCAGTAAGGCTGGGATGCAATAGACACAGGCAAACAGAGAACACTCTAAACACCCTCCTTTTGGGATCTCAGACAAGCTGTGCACATTAACATGCACAAACACAGATCTTGGAACAGGCGGATCCTGGTGTCCCCTGAGCAGCAAAGTCAGAGTGACCTTCCTACAAAGCAAATAAGTGTAGCGGCTGAGGGCTCTGTTGGTACTTACCATCCAGACATTCTATGGGGCAGGAGTGTCCTTGGAATATGGCAGCACATAACTCCCAGATACGTCACAGAACAAGCCTATTAAAAACTATATTCTTACTCAGCATGGGAAGCAGACAACTGGGCTGCTCACTCAAATCTATTACAGAGGAATCCAATGAGCAGCTGTGTAGTTGTGCAGAAATTCACCACAGACACGTGAGAGAAGGAGCTAATGTCTCCCTGGAGTAGCCACAGTGCAGTTGCGCCACAAAGAGATAACACTCCAAAAGAGGAGGCAGATTAATGACTGTGCTGTCAAGCCCCTTTTCATCCTGTTAGCGGCAAAGAAACCCACAGGGTCTCAACTGGCCTTTTAGCCAGCGACCCTGAATCTGTCAAACTCAAGTTATGCACATTTGGAGCGAGTGTTGTTTTCCGAAACAAGATGGTGAGCTAGAGGTGGGCAGAGAACTCGGAAGAATAGGTAGCAAGATCAAGGGAGAATATCTGTTACAAACAAGAAGCTATGCAGAGAGAGCACCCTTTAACCATCAGAAGGCATGAAGAAGACTATCGGTGGCTGCAAGATCTGCCTCCATGCAGGCAGGAAGTAATGTTCCTCAGAACTAGCTGCTGGAATCCTCTTCTGCTCGAATCCTGCTTGCTGCTTTCCCACAGGCATCTGGCTGGCCATGGTGAGAACAGGAAACTGGACTAGATGGGCCATTGGCCTGATCCAGCAGGCTCTTCTTCTGTTCTTATGCAGTCCCCCCACTGCCACCATGATTCCCGAGCCTCAAAGGCACCGCTGACACTTTTCTACGTTCTCCCCCTGCAACTGTGAGAGACAGAAGCCCTGTTTGTTAATTTACCTCACATGGTTAGAATCGTGTGAGGGAGAGTAGGGTCAAGCACAATAGCTCTGCTGAGTCACCACCCCCACAGCTCAACATTTCTCGGAGGGCAAATGTCTGCAGCGAGGAGCCGGAGCCACCGATGTAGACGTCAAACTTGCACAAAGGCAGCAGGTTCCCTGCTACAGATGTCTGCGCTCCAACATGTGAAGGGTGACAGGGACCAGCACTGTGATGTGATGCAGCGAGCACATGCATCCTTATTCTTCCCTTCACCGTGTGAGAAGCATACTGCCCTAAGGCTAGTCCTTCCATCTCCAGCTGAAGGCAGAATAGTAAATTCTTCACTTGTGCCACGTTTTTCTGGACACCATGGAATCACAACTATCATAGATGCATGCTGATTCAGAAGCAAGTCTCAATATGTTCTGCAGAGCTTCCTTCCATAGGATTCCAGCCTAATGAAAAGTTGAGCCGTTACTCAAATATACTAAAGCTTCCAAGGCAGAATTAATACCCTCTTGCTGACAACTTTAACCCTCTAACTCAGAGTTTCTCAAGCTGAGGTCCTCAGCTGTTGTTGGACTATAACCCCCATAATCTCTGACCACTGGTTCTGCTAGCTAAGGATGATGGGAATCGTAGTCCAACAACAGCTGAGGAGCCCACTTTGAATAATTCTGTTAACTGTTTCCCCATCCTCTCTCTTTCTACCCACCAACTGCCTTGGACAGGCATGTGCCAGCGCAAGATCTTTTGCAAGATATGAAACCACAGAAAACCGGTTTTGAGTAGGTTCAAAGAGGCTCTGAAACAGCCCTCTGAGGTCAGTTTCAAAGCATTGCCCTCTTACATCGTTTGTTCATGCTGTGGCAAGCACTACCCAAATTACAGAAATAATTGCTAGAAAAATTTCCACACCTCGTTGCATAAAACTGTAGTCCAGGCACCCAGGAATTTCAAATATCTTCCCCCCCCCCCAAGCCATGAATTTACAGCCATTTTTGGACAAGGACAGCCTGGCTATGATGATTCATTCATTGGTAACCACAAGACTCAATTATTGCAATGTCCCCTGTCTGAAGGCTCCAGCTGGCACAAAATGTTGCAGTTAGATGGTTGGTGGGGGTCATCTTACCACCAGCACATCACCCCCAGTGCTTAATGGTTTGCACAGCTGTCCACAAATACTACTAGGACACATTCAGAGTTCCTGGACAACTTTTTGTCAGGTTAACTTAAGGAACCATTTGACGCAAACCCGGAGTCCTGTTAGTGATTCCCTCACAGGCTCAGACACATCACCAGCGAAGCCATCATTCTGTGGATTCCCTCCCACCCAGCTGAACTCAGACAATATCCCTTCCTTTATTGACCTTCACGGTAACACCTGATCACACTGAAGAAAGAAGAAAATTCAGCAAGGCATTAATAATTTTATGAGAATTTATCACAAAGTACTACTTTTTGAACTACTATCCTTGTGTGGTCAGGACTCTCAGGCCGTAGAGCTTTTCAGCAGGAGGCAAGAAGATTGCCTTGTGTTTGATTTGGCCTAATTTCACTCCCAAGTAGTCATAATCCCGAAATATATCACTGGTCCTGGTAGCCCCAACTGCATGGGCACCTCCCTGTGTGATTAGCCACTTAGAGGGAAACTGGTTTAAATCAACTTCAGCCTGGCTTAATTCAACTGCTTTGGGCCAGGGCAGGAGTGCTGGTATTACTGGCTCCCAGAGAAAAAGGAATAAACCAGCCAAGCAGCAGTTCTCTTTCCTGCTTTGGTTCACAGCTCCCTGGCCCGTGAGCAGGGCCAGATTTAGGACTGATGAGGCCCTAAGCTACTGAAGGTAATCGGAGCCCTTTATTTGTCCAGCTGTCCTTTGTCAACAACAAATTGTTGCTGTTTTTTGTGTTGAATATATGCTATATGGTAATTTATGGACCTAATAGGTATCTAAAGCCATTTGCACATAAAAAATATGTATTTTGTCAAAATAATTGTTGATCTGAAATACAATTAAGAAGTATATTATTAGTAAAATAAATATTAAGCTCTAACTGTATGTAGGTTTTATTTTATTTGTTTTTATCTTATATTTTGGAAATGTACATCCAGGGTTTTTTCCCCTTTAAATTTTCTTGGGGCCCCAAGAGAGTGGGGCCCCAAGCTATAGCTTGTTTAGCTTATATGTAAATCTGGCACTGCCTGTGAGCACTTTCACCCTGTGTGTCTCCCTCCCAGCTTCAGACAAGGCAGCTAGTGTTACAGGTGAGCTCTCACTTCTGCCAGGCAAGCAAAACCAGCACCAGTGCTAGGAATGAAAGAAGCTTTCATAGCTTCAAACCCACAAAGAAACCAGGAAGTCAGAGCTCATATATACCTCTACTGTTCCCTTTCACACTGGACAGACGTGCTTTTGACACGCACCCCACCCCCACGGATAGGCGGCTCTCTACTAGGGCAAGAGCGGTCTGGGACAAAGCCCCCTTTGGCAGACCTTTCCATTTCAGTTCCTCCGGCAAGATGGTTCTGAAGCAGGAGTACAAATCACCACAGACCTCCGTTCTCAATGCTAGTGACAAAAAAGCCACAAGAAAGTGGAGCACAAAAAGATCATGGAAGCAAATGCCCTTCACCCTTCAATTGCATTTTTCCTGCAGCTAGTTCTGTGGGCCTTAAGAGATTCCTCCCTTCTTTGGATCCACAGTCAGAATTACTTGGCAAGTATTTGCATCTATTAGGCTTCTATGACATATTGTCTCACAATTAGGGTGGTTAGGAAGTGGCAAAAGGGCACATTTACGGCCAACCTATTTAGAGGAAAGGCCATAGCTCAGAGAACCTGCTGCTCTGCATCTCCAGGTAGGACAGGAGAAATGTGCCATCTGACACATCAGTGTAGACAATACTGAGCTAGATAGGAAATGATCCGACTTGGTATAGGGCAGCTTCCAATGTTCTTTTGTTCCACACGTATACCATATTAGCTCAAATATAAGCCGCACTTTTTTTTCCAAATTCTGACTGTGAAAAGTTAAAGTGCATCCTATATTCGGAACCGAGTGCTGTGTGCCCGGCTCCCAGCACTACCGCCCTGAATGGGGGGCGGGGGGGGGCAATGGTGGCTTGAGGAGGAAGTGCTGGGAGGCAGGCACGCATGCTCAGAACCGAGCCCCTGTCCCCTGTTCAGGGCAATACTGCCAGGAGGTGGGCTGCACCCGCAAATATGCCTTGAATTTTAAAGGTGCGACTTATATTCAGACCAATACAGTAAATAAAGTGCATGGGTTGAAATTTGCTTTAGTGAGTGCAAGCGTGGAACCAGGGGAATATTGCACATATTGCATTACACTATTAATCAGCTTTCAAATCAAGCTTGAGGAGGCAGGCATTCACCCCCCCCTTAACATAACTGCCAATGCTTGCCTTGGACCCAGGAGCTCCTGATTCCAGGGTGAAGGACATTCACTGTGCATGTTTTTTTTTCCCCTGCAGAGGAAACTTTAGGGACCAGCTCCCACCCACAGCTTATGTCTCGCTTGAGGACTCCCAGTTTTAAGTATTTGGCCTCTGCAGGTGGTAATAGTGATGTGCATGCAGACAACACAAAAATTTAGTGCAGCATCTCATTCTTGCTCTCACTTCTGCATTCAAGGGCCAGAAGTAAAGCATCCAGGAGCCTAGTACATGGTGCTGAATCACATTTCTGACACTTATCAGTCAATCCTAGTTACCAGGAGGCAATCACTACTTAACACTGCTGATCTAACAGTTAGAAAATTACAAGCTGCTATTTGTTAGCTCTCTTAACCAGCAAATAATAAAAACAATTTGAAAACCAAAGGAAAGCTAAAGGCAAATCTCAGCCACAGCAAAAAGAAAATGTTATGAAAAATAAAGCTCTTCCAATGACTGGCATCTCTAGCCTAAGGGCTTCCCAGAACACAGAAGCAAGAATAGCAGAGGCTGCTGATCAGCTAGTCTTCGGAGTTCACTAGGAGAACAAGCAAGTCACACTTGCCTGTCAAGCAATCATTAAATTTGCAGAGCAGCACACTTCTGGGCAGTGTTACCACAAGACACTGAAGCTCGCTTATGAACCATGAACTGGAATTTAACCACATATAAATGCCCCCAAATAGTTTATTATTCTTATTTCATATTATAATGTAAAATGCCCCCAAACAGTGACTGATTTAGATAATAGACACTTTTCATTGTTTAAACATATTCTAAATATTTCTACTGGATCCCAAGAAATCCAGAGCTCAGAAAGCACTATTTGCAAGCCTCAGAGAAACCCATAGGGCTACTCGCTATGTAGAGCAGTCAGGGTAAGGATCCTGGTGCAAAAAGATCCACAGGGAGAGGTTGTTTTGGGCAGTTGTCAGCTTAGAACTCTGGGAGCTGAAGGAATGTCATAATTACAATGAAGGCTGGATTTCTAGGCTTGCCCACAACTAACTAAACTTCTTTAACATCAAACTGTTATTGATTCACCTACTAAAATGAAATTTACAACAACAACAAAAGGCACTCTAGTTTCAGGGCATTTTAAACTACTGTCCACGAAGTATTGTTGGACCAGTTAAGCAGAGTGGAAGAAATACAAACTATTATTGCCCTTTGGTGGCTTTCTCTTTCAATCTGACAATATTAGAGAATGGTGATGGGGAGATTTTCATTTGCTACTTGAAGTTTTTTTGTGGGAATCTATTTAATATCCAATGAAACATTGGATTACCTGCAGATTTGGAGTGTGGTGTCATCTCTAAATTGGCAACACTCAGCGCTATCTTTCATTTCTATCTAATCTAATAGCAATGGTCTTAGTGTTTACACCCGTGCTTAGAGGCTATTTTAGCAAAGATTCACCCATTACAAGGTGAATCCAGACAAGATGATTATAGCAAGTGGGCCATGTGATTTGGGGATGTGTTTTTGGATGGTGTCTCAATGTCCCTCAAAGAACAAATATTCAGATTGGGAGTACTCCTGGAGCTGGCTTTGCTGATAGGTGCACATTTGTGGTCCAGCTCAAAAAGAGGACAGGACACCTGGAACATTACTAGTGTGCAGAAGAGGAAATGTCAGGTGTCAAGCTACTCCTTCTGGGATTCCCTACTCCACAACTATTAAAAGTATAAGAGCTGTGGTCTCTTTTGCACATGGCTGCTCTAAGCTTTGGCCAGAGACTTTTTTCATTAATAACCAATATGTGAACTGCATCCCTTCCTGGAAAACAAGGCCCTAGCAACCATCATTCGTGTATTTTTTAAACTCTGAAGTTTGACTACTGCAAATAAACTACAAATGAGGCTGCCTTTTAAGACTGGAAATGTCAGCTTTTGCAACAAAATGCAAAAGTCTGTGATCTAATTGGAGTCAAAGATTGAGAGCATACGCCAGCTGCGTTCTGCAATACTGATTATCAGGTTCTGGGCACAATTCAAACTGAATGTGATAACTGAACAGATCCTATGTAGCTTGTGTCTTCCACAAGCCTTTTTTGCTCAAGATTTTTAGGTGTAGCTCTGCTCCATATTCCAGAAAACTGTGACTGGGGTTGTTGTTGTTTAGTCGTTTAGTTGTGTCCGACTCTTCGTGACCCCATGGACCAGAGCACAGAGAACTGTGACTGTGGTTAGGAGCAAAAATGTTCTTAGGAAGAACATCCACTTGAAGTAATTTATCCTAAAAGACACCTGCCTAAGCCTGTGCAGCTCCACATTTTTTTTAAGGAAAAGAGGTAATATTTTTGTTTAGCTAAGCTTTGGCAGATCCCCCCCCCCCCGGAACTTCAGTTTTGAATGTTTTTAATTTTTTATTGTATATTTGTACAGCCAACCACCTGATAGCTCCATGTGTTTACAAACTGCAGCAAGAACCCCAGTCAGCAAATTAAGGAAACTGTTAATCTCAGTTTCCAATTCAAGATGCTGATACTGACCTTTAACATCAGTCAGCAACACTGTGCCCACGGGTGTCAGTGTGCCTGCCAATACCTGCTATGGTGCCTGTGAAGGGTCTCAGTATATAAATCCTCATAAATCCAGAATGCAGGAGAGACTGTTTGTTCTTTGTGCTCCATCCTTGTTTACACTGGCGCAGCTTCTTAGTCTTTGAACTTGCTCTCTTAAACATGCTCATGTTTCACTAGATACTAGGAGTTGACCCTCCTATCCATTCTAAACAGAGGAGAGGTACAAAGAGTTTCATTTGTGAATAAGCATGGCAGTGGCTGAAGTAGGCTCCTTTTTCAATTGATGAGACAACTGATTCTGTGGTCTGTCAAATCCCTTTACGAACTGACTGGCCTTCATAAAGTGGCACTCTGTAGAGCAAGGTTGGAGAGACTGTGGCCCCCTAGGTATCACTGGACTCCAGCTTCCAGGCAGTGGTCATGGATGATGGGAGTTATAGCCCAGAACCACCTTGAAGGCCACGGGTTCCTCATCCCTGCAGTGGATAACTTCATAAGATGTATTATTTGTACTAATGAAATTGTCACCTTTGAGCTTTGAATTTTTTAGTTATTTCAGATGCACTTACCATTTGCACACTCAAGCTGATACAAACGGAGCAAAATACTTCCCTTACACTTTAAATCTGGATTCTTAACTATACTGACTACTATTCCCGCATAAATGATCACATCCTGTTACTCTAGCGTCATAATCCTCAAACAACTCCCACCATAAATTCCTTACACAAAACTGCCACTGCAGATAGAATTCCCATTCTACCTGTTAAGTGTGAATGAAGAAAGCGAAGTGAGGACAAGCATCCTTACCATTTACTGTGATTATAGCAAGGTAAAAAAAAAAAAAGCATTAAAGAATTATTGACTTGCATTAAAATTGGATACACACCATTAAAATATAGAGCCCGTGAGTTACTTCAGATTAATCCATTCAGATTTTAGCTATGAAATCGTCCGCACAATGATTTTCACTTACTGCATCCTAACCCTGCCTGGTATGAAGCATCAAATTTCCTGGTAAGCAGGGTTGGACTGGAGCCTTAGTTTTAAAAGACACCCAGTTAAGTAGGTATAGAATTGAAGCCCAATGCCTCTATGTAAGGCAACCTTGATACCAATTCGATGTCAACATGAAACCAACTACGTGGCCTTGGATAAATGATGATTTCAAAGTCAAGTTGCTCAGCGGGTGGAGCTAGCACTGGCCTACCTCGCAGGGTTGACCTGAGGCCGGTTCAGGAAAAAAGATACTCTGCTACTGAGAAGTAAAAAAACCCCACTGATATAAATGGGACTAACTCCCCTAGTAAAGGGATAAAGACTTCCACCTGGAAACATACCAAGCATTTATAACCTCCCACAGCTGCTTCAAACCCAGGATCAGATCGTACTGTATATCGAGTCTCGCTGGATCCCCCGCTCCCCCCAGATTTCATTTCTATCCGACTCCTCGGTCTCCGGCTGAACCCGGACGAGGCAAGCGAGACAAATCCGCCTTGGAAAGGCAAACCGAGCTCTTCCCGAGAGCCAGCCCCATCTTTGATTCCCGTTTCCTCCAGAGGCACCCAAGCCTAGCGAGGGGCTCTTCTGCCCGCTCCTCCATGCATCTCTCCCGCCTGACCCACAGCATCCTCCCCGCCCCTGCCCGGAGCCCCCGAAGATGCCGGTAGGCGCCTCCCGCCTTCCCCCCGCTGGTCGCGGGCCCGCCAGCGCGGGAGGGGACGGCCGCCTCATCCCCGGCGCCGTCCGTCCCGGAAGCCTCTTCCGCCCGCCCCGCGCCCCGGAGTTAGCCCACCTGCGGCCCATGATGCCGGCCGGGCCGGTGCGCTCCGCTCCCCCGCCACTTCGCTGCTCCGAGCCCGGCCGCGCCTCCCTCCCGGCGCCACAGGGCCAGGAACCGGCCGCTCGCCCCAGCCGAGCAGGGACTCCGGGGCTTCCACAGCGCCGCCTGCCGGTATGGAGGCCCCGTCTCCGCGCGGCAATGGATTCACTTCCGAAGAAGCGGGGAAGCCTACAAGTTCCCGCCCGTGTTTGACTAAGGGGAGGAAGCCGGCGACAGGCGAAAAGGACTCTTAAATCCGTTTGAGAGCTAGGCCGCCGGCCCAGAATCTGGAGGGCAACGTTTCGCGGAAGAGTGTCGTGAAGTTCGCAAAAAGGTGCAAAGGGCTTCCCCTCCACCCTGAGGAGCCACGTGAGGTGAAAGGAAGAACTTCAATTTCAGGAAGAATTCTCTTTTCACTAGCAAATATACCCTCCTGCGGAGAGCTGTGGACTCCTTTGGGACAGGACAATGCCCTGTGGGAAAGCAAGTGAACGTGGAAGCCACCCATAAAAAGCCTCATTCACTACGGTTTCAGTCGCACGTCTCCAAGCCACAGGATTTGCTCTCTGTATATGGCCGGAAGCACTGTTCTTCAGGCAGTCTGCGTGCTTCATCTCTAGATTAACAGTCAATGAAGCATGGCATTCCTCCACTCTTAATTCCCGGTTTTTTTTTAAAGGGCACTTCTATGTTTTTTAAATACTTAATTTTTCCCTCAGGTTTTTCAACCAGAGAAAACTCAGATGCCTTCATACTCTCAGCTGCTACATTTGCCAGTATCAGGGTCCAACAACAAAACTTGGGGTGACAGTTGTGGGTAACTTGCGGCCTTCTGAGACTGCGTCATTCCTGTACATTTGCTATGCTGCCTGAGGCTAGTTGGAGAGTTGAACTACTAGAGAACAAGTTACCCAACTGGCACAAACCCAAAAGTGAAGGAAACAATTTGCTTCTCCTGTCACCTTCCCTGCCAGCTATGTGGAAAAACAGATACAGTACATATTTGAACCTGGTGATGGCGCTCCCTTGCCCCATATACCCATTCTAGGTAACAAAACTGCCTGCCTTAGGGTGAACTAAGACTTTCCAAATACCAAAAGGATTTGAAATATATTGAGGGGGATGATGTGTGATTTATGGCATCTAATTACAATAGCATGCGTGCTGGGCTATTGAGGGAAGCTTTTTGCAGTAGCACATTGCATACATACCCTGGCCTACATCAATCTAGGATACCTGTTAGCTCAGCTGCTTAGAGTGTAATGCTGATAACACCAAGGTCATGGGCTGATCCCTGTATGAGTGCATATTCCTGCATAGCAAGGGGTTGGACTAGGTGATCCATGGGGTTCCCTTCCAACTCTACGATTCATTTAGGCTACCACATGGGTAGGCAAACTAAGGCCCAGGGGCTGGATCCGGCCCAATTGCCTTCTAAATCCGGCCCGCGGACGGTCCAGGAATCAGTGTGTTTTTACATGAGTAGAATGTGTCCTTTTATTTAAAATGCATCTCTGGGCTATTTGTGGGGCATAGGAATTCATTTTTTTTCTTTTTTTCAAAATATAGTCTGGCCCCCCACAGGGTCTGAGGGACAGTGGACTGGCCCCCTGCTGAATAAGTTTGCTGACCCCTGCACAAAGCTATCCATCTCAGACAGTGTTTGAGCCCAGTTCTCCAGAACGGAAATTCTCTTTGCTAGACTGGAATGTCTTCTTGCGTAATCTGTGTCCAAAAAGTCTTTTGCAAATGTTCTACCACTTCTTAAGAATGCATTTTCATTGCCATTTGTTTTCTAACCACAAACAATAAATAAGAAGCCTGCCCGTATTTTAGACATGTCCAGTTTAATTTGTCTTTTATCCTGTTAACTTGCTTTGCGACTTCTGTATAAAGCGATTTAACAAATGCAAATAACGACAACCAATTAATATTATCCATAAATTTAGTAGACTTGAATTACAAAATGCTTCAAACACTTTATAACTGAAAGGTAGCCTTACGTCCCATATGAAAATGAAAATATTTCCTGCGTGGTTTGATTACTTTTCAATGACTTGTTATATTTATAAAGCATCCTGCTTTATAGGAGCTCAAGGTAGTGTGCATGTAGACTTACTCCGTTTTGTTGTACAAAGTTTGTGTTTTTGGTATTAATTATCTTGAGATGGTTAAAGCAAAATTTTGTATCAATGGAAGACTTCAGAGCACAATCCAGCACATGTTTACTTGGAAGCAAGTTCTACCAGGTTCAGTGGAATTTATGTTCTAGAGCAGGGGTAGGCAACCTAAGGCCCAGGGGCCCAATTGCAGCCCAATCGCTTTCTCAATCTGGTCCGTGGATGGTCCAGGAATCAGCGTGTTTTTACATGAGTGTGCCCTTTTATTTAAAATGCATCTCTGGGTTATCTGTGGGAATGCATTTATTTTTCAAAATAAAGTCTGGCCCACAACATGGTCTGAGGGATGGTGGACCGGCCCATGGCTGAAAAAGGTTGCTGACCCCTGGTTTAGGTCCACGAAGGAGAGTATAGCCATAATATAGCTACATTGAGCCTTTGGGGTCAGACAGCAACTTCTGAAAGCAGAAGCAGGCCTGCTTGTAGGCTTCCAAGGATGCATCAAGCTAACTACTGTTGGAAATACAATACAGAAAGACAGCTCTAATTTCCCTATTGAATGTTGGAAGCTGTGTCTTCCTCTTTGTGAACCACTTTCAACATACTCCTCCTCTTTCATGCTGCCAATCGCCAGCAGGGTGCAAATGGCTTAAAGTTCCACTAAAGCATCTCAGGAAAGGCAGGAAAACTTTTCTTAAAAAACAAAAACAAGAAACCCAAATCAAATTCTTGAAAACATTCCTCTCCTAATAGTTCCCGTGTAAGGAGCTACTCTGTTTGCTGACACTTCTTTGGTAAGGTTCAGTGAACAGCTTTATATTTGCACCAATTGTAATGGTTTTGGTACAGAACCAAGTCCCCTGTCGTCGTCGTCCCGGAACTGAAGGCTTCTCCATAGTAGCCAGCCAAAGATTTCTGTACCTTGTAAATGGCACAGTAACTTGATTAGATTTGAAGAGTCAAGAGTCCTCTATTGTCAGAAACCTTAAATACACAACTTTCTATATAAGCCTCCTCCAGCTTTGATTCTGTAATAACCAGAACTGCACGAACTGTTGCATTGGGCCTCAAGCCAGAAGACAGCCCATGTGATTTCAGCCTTTCTCTGCTTCAGCAGCTGACTGGTGCTTTCCCAAGCAATTTGTTGCTGTGGGTGAAAGGATATCTCCATCCGCTGCTTTTGGTTATCTAGCTGGGGCAGAAAAACAGGCAGATTGGCTGCTCTCACTGCTTAAGCGTGACATGTGTATCTTCTTCCTGCAGCAGATGTGTAGACCTGTGAAAATGTGTGGGACGTTATATCTGAAAGAAATGGGTGTACTCTTGGGAGTCACAAGCAAATCTGGGGTGATCTTTTACTAGCACGACAATTTATAGAATCACAGAATCCTACTGAGTTGGAAGGGACCCCAAGAGTAATCAAGTCCAACCCCCTACAATACAGGAATCTCAACTAAAGCAGCCAAGACAGATGGCCATCCAACCTCTGTTTTAAAACCTCCAATGAAGGAAAGTCCACAACCCCCCCCCAAGGGAGCTGAACAGCTCTTATTGCCAGAAAGTTCTTCCTGATGGCTTAGTCGGAATCTCCTTTCTTGTAACTTGAATCCATTGGTTCGAGTCCTACTCCTACTCTCTGGAGCAGGAGAAAACAAGCTTTCTCCATTTTCCACGTGACAGCCCTTCAGATATTTGAAGGTGGCTGTTGTAGATGGCACTCTCCTCTTTTCTAAGCTAAACATACCCAGGTCCTTCAACCGTTCCTCTTAAGGCTTAATTTCCAGACCCTTGATAATATTGGTCGTTGTCCTCTGCACACGTTCCAGCTTGTCAATGTC